GTGAGAAGGAAAAAGGCAGTACACAGATGGCTATGTGTATGGCTTTGATAGTCATGGAGCTTAGATAGGCACTTCATCATTCTGCCTACCTACATTTATCTGTTAAAATTATTATCAAATATCAGCCAGGATGCAGTAGTGAATCACAGGCTGCTCCTTGTCTTCAGGGGAATGATACAATGAGAGTCTATTCATCAGTGCGGCAATCGGCACAAGTAATTAGTTCCCTAGACTGAGATCTCCTACAAAGCCTATTTCAGTCAGCACCACAAACATATGACGATGTAAAGCTAATGAAAGCTGCTCAAATTTGTTAACCTTTTCTGCCATCAATCCTTCTAATACTCTGTGCTTGAATATTATGCAAAGGTGGTAAATTATTAATTTGTCATTCATCCATCCTTCTACATTTTGAGTCAAATGATGTCATTCTTCTTGATAACAATTAAAATTATAAAAGATGTTAAGGTACTATGATAAAATTATTACTAAATTAGGCAACAATCGATTCTACTATAACGCACAATAGTGAAGTCAAATCCAATGGCTATTATATAGCATGTGCACAATAATTTTTATCACGCAGCAGAAAAATCAGAAGAATTATAAAAATCACTCACAAATTATTAACTTAAAGATAATATCTATAAGAATAATAACCAAAATTAGGAGGAAATAGAACTATAATATTTATTTTTGTACTCTTTGACACTAACAAAAAATGGTCAAAATGGTGACATTTAGCTGAAACAAAAATACCAATACATCAGGAACTGAGAATTTGTTCACATAATAGAAAGTTTCAAAATATAAGTTTCATTTATGCTACCTATATGAATATTCTGCCTTCAAATATAAATTTTCTACTAAAAATTATAAAAAATCCTTAGACACGATCCAAATAGAATGAAGAACTCCATACCTCAACATGATAATATTTACAAGCTCCTCAAGCTCTATCACTTAAAGACTATCTTCTCACACAATCCTATTATAATTAAAAATAATCTGAAGACAAAGCAGAATCAATTATTTCAGATCACAGATCTAGAAAGGATTATAAAAATCACTTAAGGAGGACAACAATTTCAATATTTTTTTTTGAGAGCCTCGCCATATAAAGTACTGCTCCAGGTGATGTAGGATACAAAGCCCTCAAGGAATTTACTAATAATCAAACAGCTGCTATTAGTCTCATTTGAAAAAAACAGCATTTATCATCCAATTTCTTATTGTGAGAGTAATACATGTTCTTGGAGAAAAGTTACACTCACTTTTTTGTCTCCCTAACTCTGCTTCCTCTAACAACATGTACTCTCAGTACAAAGCTCAATCACCAAAAAACAACGAGGCATTCTTGGTCATTTTAGACCAACATCTGTAAAGAGAATGTCAAGTTTTTGTCATCAACTTACTGTAAGTTTGATCATCCATTTAAGATTTCACTCTAATTTAAGAAGTACTCTTCCCTACTCTCTCCCCGCTGCCCCAAAAGTCCCTCCTAGGGGAAAGAGGATTAAAAAAATGACAGATTTAGCATACTGATCCAACTCTCATCACACAGGGTTATGAATTAACTAAAGAGGTTATTAAACATATTTATAGTTATCACCATGGTATGGCCAGGAAAATTAAAAAGACTTGTATATTCAGAAACAGATTGTTGACCAAATACAAGCATGGATAAGATGAGGGAATCACTTATTCTGAGACCTTAGGAATACATATCTAGATCACTATAAACTTATACCTTTACATATCTGTATCTATCCAAAACAATTATATTAATACTATATGATATCACTTTCACAAACTTCACTTATTATCTATTTCCATCAAGATCCTCAAAAGTATTCAAAGTAGAGATGTAAACCCAGGTTCTAGAAGATCTGGAATATTTACAGTTTCTTTCAGAAGACATATGCTGTACACTTAGGTCTCCACTAGAACAATTTCCAAGTACTAAAATCTTTGACTAGGGAGACACACGTGTCTTTAAAAGTTATGGATAGCACTAAAGGTAAATGTTCTAACTTTGCTTTCTGGTTTTTTTTTATTTCTGTTTTTCCATTCTTTGGCCTAATTTCAAAGCTTGAGGTTACAATTATGATGTAAATCTAACGGACTTTTCTACGTATTAAGTCATCTAATTATCTTTCTACTTTTTAAAAAACCTTCACATTTATGTTTGCATTCAATGACCTTTAATACATCACTACAATCTACATAAAAGAATGTAAAACAATGCCATTCTAATATATAGAATATATATTTTATTTTCTACAAGAACAGAATTTGATAGATCGAAGGAAATACAACTCAAGCATCAATAGATACATTATTATTCTATTTTGTAAGCTCATTATGGTTAGTGATTTGATCAGATAAAACAAATAAATAAGAATGAACCAAACGAGAATCAGTTGGAAGAGGAAGAAGTATTAAAACAAAGAATCAAAAAAAAAAAAACAAAGAATCAGTAACTAAGGTATGATTCACATTCTTCCTCTAATACTTGAATGGTGCAACTATAAATAATCTGATTTTTTTTCAACATGTAAATAATAAGAATTGTTAAAGTTTTAGTTTTCTTCAGAGAAAGTATGGCAAAACAATTAGCCAATTATCATGGTATGAATGGGCAAATATTATAATAAAATACTAAAATATTTTCTAATAACAATTATTATTTATACCTTGAGCCAGCTGCTATGAATACAAGGATTATTACAATTTTTTCCCCGGATCTCATGGAGAAGGCAGGTGTGAAAATAAATAGTAACAATTCAAAAAATATGTGTGATAGAACAGAGCTCTATTACATGGCTATTAAGCTGCACAACTCCAGGAGGCACCTTTCACATCAAAATTTGTGTAAATGGCATGCCAGGGAGTTATGCAATGCTCTTTGTGTATTTCTACATGCCACAGCCCAAGTGCTGTGAAAACAGCCCCACCTTTTCCCCTTCCCATTATATGCTCAGGCATCTTTCTTTCTCTCCCAAAGTTAAATCTAAACTTAGGAATAGATAACAGGACAAGACCCCTCAGACACTATCAGTGGCAGTCACACAGTTAATATTTCCCTGCTGTACCAAAAAGTGGTCAGATAAGGAAGAAGCTTGGTTGTCAAAATACAGCAAAATTCAATAAACAGAATAAAATAA